GCGAGCGCTGCGATTTGATGATCATTTCGACTGATGCATTCACGCTGCAGGCGGCGGGGCGGCATGATTTATGTGATTTGCTTGCTGTGGTGCCTGCTGTTCATGCCTTTTGTGCCGTCATGGGCCCACTGGACATCATGTTGATGACTCCTGTTCCATGCAAACCAGCTTGTGGAGATCAACGGTGAATCAGACTCAGGAGACACTCAGACTTACTGCGAAGGGCCTCGCGGTCACGTCGACAGGCGGATTGAATGAGTGAGTGAATGGCTGGTTTTTCGTCGTTCCAGAGACGTTACGTATCGTTTCAGAGTGGTTTTGAGCGGGAAAACGGCTCCAGTGAGTCATTCACGGGGAGATCCCCCGCATGAAACAAGGAGAAGATAAACCAATCACTCGCTTGCGCGTGCAAACCAACCAATCAGCCCTACTGACCGCATTCATGTGTTGCGGGGATGCATCTTCATGCGTCGTTCGATGAGTTCACATAGAACAGAAGTCCGTTTCACTCTGAGAAAAAGTCCGTTTGCCAAGAAAGCGAATTGTTGTCTCTCGAGTTATAATTTCGAGTGAGTCTATCAAACCAAGTCCAAATCGGCGCCAAACGCGCCCATATGGGCGCGCCTGCATTGCGCCGTCTATGCAGAAGCGCCTCTATTTACATTTACGCGCCTCTATGGGCGGATCTTTCGTCGTCTCCATTTATGCGCCCATGTAGGCGCGTCTGGCGCCTACATGGGCATGTCGGACGCGGGCCGTTACTTATCGGGCCTATATAGGCTGCCGTCTCCGTCTATATCGACGAAATCCGCGCCTATGAAGGCGTCGTCCGCGCCTGGTTCATGGGTGGCCAGGCAGACACAGGAGCACTCAGATGAACTCTGTGTGACGGCCATCATGCGCCCATTTCTTTCCACCTTCTGTGAGTGTGCGGTTGGCCGTTCTCTCTGCTGCGACTATTGCCTCGTGGAAGCTGATCTTCTGCAGCCCCCTCCCCCATTCAAGGGGGAGGGGGCGATACTGCGTCGTCCGCATTGCCACCTCCCTTTGGTGTCTGCGCCCTCTCTTCAGTCACACACAAGTGCAGTCGATTTTTGGTTTCTCGGCCCGTCTCGCCGCTCACGAGCAAGCACCTCTTCACTCATCTTCCCAGATCTTCGAAAAAGACCGCCAAATCGCCTCTCATCCGCCCATCTTCTTTTTGACAAATACCCTAAGCCTCACCCACTGGCCACTAGCGATCGCTAGGTTTTGTTCGTTCATTCGTTCGCTAACCTCACGGGGACCTTGCCCCCCGGCCCCCCGAAGGGGTACGCACAACGAGTCTGTGTGAGTCAGGCCTGTCTACCCACCCATCCCTATGGTCCACCACAAAAGGAAAGGCACTGGCACCGGCCGACACACAGATGACAACAGAGGGCACAGCTGACGAACACTTCCCCTGGCTACATACACAAGAACGGGCGATATCACCCGACAGCAAGAAGCCCTGGCAAGTGTACAGAAGTCAGAGGAAGCAAGTGAAAGATTGAAGCCCACTGAGCCATCAAACGCAACAACAACAAACAACCAATC